AAGAGATATCACAGAACTGGATAGAGTTCTTTGTAGAATTTTGTTAGGACAGTTCCTACATTCCTTTTTAGCCAGAGATGCACTGAATCATGGCTGTTTACTACCTACATTTGCACAATGTACATCTCCCTGGAAAGAAAGCAAACAAATCATCTTAGCCCTAGGCATTGACATATATTTTTTTAATAGTAGCAGGTGGTTAACCAATAGAGGGCCCATGTACTTTCCCTTCTACAACATAATCTTGCCTTGAGGGAGAAGACAAGTCTTGGAAAACAGCTTGTTTTCCAAGTTATATGATTTGTTTTTTCAAGTTATGGTGAATCATGTTTCATTCAAAGTATAATAGAGAAACCAGATCCAGATCCTATGGTATTTTTACATGGACTGCGCCAACCTTTTGCAACCAGAATTCCTAGGTAGTATCCAGAGAGCTATGGTCCCAATAAATTTGAAGGACAACCAGGATGGAAGTAGGCTGTTTCATGTCCAAGAATTCTCAGCCCTGATATGAAAACTTCCCCCCAAACAAATGATTTTTATCAACTCCATAAACTTGTGGCCCTAAACCTCTTTAACTCGCTATTAATATAGCTTTGCTATGAATACATCTGCTATGCATATGACATGTCATACATATTTGCATAATCAAATTCCTAGCTAAGATTCTTTTATGTTTGTAAATATCCATCCTTCAACAGCATACCCAAGTGGACAATAACCAAATCAGCATCATGGAGAAAGAAAAGAAATATTTGCATTAATGTGATTTAAGAATTGGGGAGGGAAAGGTCAGTACAAATGTGTCTTAATAATATTTGGTTATTAAATAATTTGTTTAATTAAATATATTTATGAAACATGGCCCTCTCTTGCAAGCTAGACCCTGTCGTGTCCTTTCAAAAGATGATGGAGTCTTTTATCCAATTGAAGTTTACAGACCTAGTGCGTACTACCAAATCCATGACATGGAACCAAAGCCAGGAATTCGGTGCTGCAATTTAGATGGATTCACCTGCTAAAATTTAAACATTTTCATCAGATGTTTCTCCAATAATTTTACTTTCTCAACAAACTATGTAAAAGCAAAAAGGCCAGTCTGATGAGTAAAACTATGCTCCTGCAGAACTCGTCGCAAATCCAGTATTAAGAATTATTTTAGCATCCCGCAAGAAAGACAGTGCAACTTTCCAGGAAACTCTGTTACTGAACTTAGACAAAGGAATAAAGGACGTCACCGACAGATTTCAATCTGAAATGGTTGAAATGAATTTGTTTATCAACCATATTCATCTTCAGTTCATGCAAACACTTTTGTTGTTATTATTAACTCTCACTGAGTTAGTCAGCTCACTAGTGCCTACATGTCTACCTTGGCACCAACCAAGTGTTTTCTGAATGACTGTGACTCATGAGAGAAAGCTGACAGAATCCATTCTACATTTTATTCCTATTTGAGCTCAGTGTTTACAATCCGTTCAACCACATACGTCAGGAATTTAGTATTACCTTTCACGCATCTGGAGAAATTGGTGCCATTCCATAGAATGCCACTATAAATGTATTAGCCTTATATTAATGCACTGCAAGTACTAAGTTCTTTGGTCATTTGGAAATCTCATTGTATCAAACCCAGTGAAAGAAGACACACCTTAATCATCTTTAAGTCAGGCATTTCCCTTTGGTGTTAATTAACAAGATGAGTACGCAAACAAAAGTAAAATTAATCTGTGTATTAGCTCAAGGCAACTGCAAAACAAAAGAGAAAGGGGAACTTTTTTTCTAGGTGGTATCTGTGATTTTTAACTGTTCCCTAAAGGTCAGAAATGCAGGATGCTCTTTGATACGGAACAAATGAAACAACCACAGTTCAACCATTTCTATTGAACTACTGCTATATTTTAAAAACTTGTGTTTTATCACTTCGGTATTTGTTAGCATGATTTTTTGGAGGGTTGCAAAAAATGAAGCCCATATTTTGTCCTCCCATGTTTTAAAGATCCAAGAACCTCCGGGAATGGGATGGGGACGGAGAAATTGAAAGCATGATAATATGTGAACGCACATAAAAGGATACGTGTGCAAAGATCTGTTTCTGTTTCCGGACTCTAAACCGTAAGAGTTGTTATCATACCCAGAAATTATTTTTCACAGATACATTTCAGAATGTAAAAATGGATAAGTACAAGCTTTCACATCATATCTACAGACCCCTCACATCCTGGACATAAACTGTTTCAGCTTCTTCCCTCAAGATGACCCTAATACAGGGCACTGCATGCCAAAACAACTACCGGTAGACACAAGGACAATTTTTCCCCCATGCATCACTCTGCTAAACTATTTATTTATTTATTTGTTTGTTTGTTTGTTTGTTTGTTCAACTTGTATGCCGCCCTTCTCCGAAGACTCAAGGCAGCTGATTGACAATTCCCACAACACTGTCAAACTACCTAGTAGGATTGTATATTACTATTTTCTTTTCATCTTTCCTATTACCTATGTCTTTATCTTCTTATGAGTGTAAATTTGTTGCTTGTATCTTATGATTTATATTGTTTTATTTAGCATCCTAGAATTATTTATGTTGATTGCTTATTTAGCATCCTATGACTATCACTGAGTGTTACATCTTATGATTTATGACTATTGCATTTTATGATTATGATAATGATTTATCACTTGTTGCTTGTATGTACAGGCTGAGAGCTTGTGCACCAGAGACAAATTTCTTGTCTGTCCAATCACACTTGGCCAATAAAGAATTTTCTTCTCTTCTATTTCTTTCAGAAATTAGCAGCTCAGGTTTAGAAAGAACACCTACTTGAAGAGAGCACTGCAAAGCTCCAATCTAGGAATGGCTTTACGAGTACTTCAGAGTCTTCAGAAATGTTTTCGGTCAAAATCCAAAGAGCTACTTTAGGCCCTAGTTACAACCAAGACAGATATTGTCTTAATTGACAGTTAGACAGCCTAACATTCACTGGCTACTGATCTTATCTGATCTTAGAATACTGCCAGCTACCAAGATCTCTCTTTCTTAGCTCCAGTTGACAAGAGTAATGGAAAGATATTGTCAATGTTGATAGATTACAGATATTGGGTTGATGTATTTAAAACAAATTTGCCATCACTATACATAACTCTGAATAGGAATCATACATTCATATTTTGGTGTGGAGTTTTTTCTGTTTCAGATTATTAAACGAAAGAAGATGGACTTTAACGTCAATGTTGATAGCAGTAAAAATTTGGTGGAATTAGAATGCTCAACTTTCTTCCCACACAATCTATGTTAGAATTAATCTTAAATAGCAACCAAATATTTCTCCAATATATCTGGGATGAAAGGGGAGAAACTTCCAGGTCAGAGAACAGGACCTGCCTAGGGAGAAATCTAAATTTCACCACCTTTTCTGAACTAAAAGCACTTGAACGTGAGGCAAGAAAATCTGATTTTTCCCCCCCAAAAAAATACTCATTATGTATCAGATCAGATATATCCATAGTGAGATTCATGTTCTAGGAATAAAATCATACAAATGTCTATGGAGATTCTCAGTCATCCAGATCTTATCAAGTTCACGAAGAAACTCTTGATTTTAAGTTTATGTGATTTTCCCAAAGATACTTTTTCAAAGGCAACTGGACTTTGTTTTTCCTTAAAGACATTTCACTTCTCATTCCAAGAAGCTTCTTCTGAAGAAGCTGATAAATGAAATGTCTTCAAGGAAAAACAAAGTCCAGTTGCCTTTTGAAAAAGCACCTTTGGGATAAACTTAACATCAATAGTTTCCTTGTGAACCTGATAAGAGTCCAACCAGTCCTTTCTGGAATTTTTAACTTAATAGGTATTTTGGTAATGGGCAATGCCAAGTATGTAGCCAAGTCACATATTGATTTTTACCTTCTCTTGACTATCATCACTGAGGTGAGAATGCTTAAGAATGTTTGAAGAGTGGTTGGGTTGGAGACCTTCTATTTGAAAGATATTGACAAACTTTTCACGATAATTATAAGATTTGATTGGATGGTGGATTCAACAATGCAAGAACAAATCATAACACTGACAGAATTCCTATTAACCAAGTTATGAGATCACCTTGCTTGAAAATTACTGTTAAGTGTGACAATTCTCTGTGTAATTCCTATGCAGGATTCTCTTCTATTTATCCTGAAGTTGTCAAAGCTTTTCATCAAAAATAAAATTTGTGGTTAATTTCTAAAGGTTTTCTGAAAGTTAAAAATGATATCCATTATGAATGACCATTATGAGAACTTAGCTGCTAGATTATAAAAATAAAATTAATCATGTCATAATATTTCCAAACTACAGATAATATTCTTCTTCAATTTGGTGCTTTAACTCCCAGACCTCAAGGGACTTTGTGTTGTTGGGTCTTGTAGTCACTATACTCACAGACAGCTGGATGACTCCATGCTAGAAAAGGCCAGCCTTAAATATTGTAAGGTAGTCCTCGATTTACAACAGTTCATTTAATAATGTTCAAACGGCCCTAAAAAAAAGTGACTTATGACCATTTTTCACATTTACGACTTTTGCAGTATCCCTGTGGCCACGTGATCAAAAGTCAGATGTTTGGCAACTGACTCGTATTTATGACGTATCTGCAATGCCTTGAGGTCATGTGATCAGCTTCTGCAACCTTCTGACAAGCAAAATAAATGGGGAAACCAGATTCACATAACAACCGTGTTATTAGCCTAAAAACTGCAGTGATTCACTTAACAACTGTGGCGATAAAGGTAGTAAAATGGGGCAAAATTCACTTAACAAATGTTTCACTTGGCAACAGAAATTTTGGGCTCAATTGAGAACTGCCTGTATTGAGTGAGCTACAGCTAGCTAGCTGAACATTGTGATGTGTTTTGTAGAATCTGCTAGAAACCATAATACATTAGTGCTCAGCTTCTAAAGCTTCTATACAGTATTTCATGTTGCAACATTAGTAAAAGAAGGAATAAAGCAAACATTTTACCTCAAAGAATTGGAAACTGCCAAGATAGGTCTTCATCTGCAGATCAAAGCAAAGAGATGGAAGGATACTTCTGTAAAGAAATAAATACAAGATTGCTATTTTTAAAGAGGATTTATAAAGAAATGAACAACAAAGGATGCAGTTTTGATTATGCAGTCATCCATGAATTACACGCTCAAAATAATTTTGGAAATGGATTATCAACTAACTTGGCAACCTATAAGTTTCTTTCCACATTTACATGTAATAGCCACTTATCAAAGATCCACACACCCAATTCTTATAAAAATGTGTTCCAAGAACAAAAATAACATATTAGCAAGGGCTATTCCAACACGCATTTAAGATTTGAAACCATGATCATCCTAGCAACCTAGAGGTTGTGTTTTGATTCACACATGACACTAAGGCAAGATTCATTGAAAAATAAAAGTTGATTAAAATCATGGAAAAGCTTATTAAGCCATAATTTGACAGATGATTTCTATATTGTAAGTTGAAATCAATTCCTTTTTCCTCACTAGGGCTTAGTGAAGTGTGTGAATCAAGGCTTCCTGTGATCATGGTTAGTCAATGCACTATAGTACAATTGCTTCATATCAGACTCCAGATAATTTGGAGCAAAGGAGATGAACGACATGGTAGAAGAGAAAGAAGAGAAATCAAATAAAACATATCCCTTTAGGCATCACATTCTCTGGGTCTGTGAAAGCCTGTTTTGATGATTTTGCAATGATAAGGCAAGATATTTTTTGCCTAAGTATGCAAAACTATTGATCCATGTGAATCAATTTTATCTGGGACACCACAAAAAGCTTGTCAGAACAAGTACTAATTGAAGGTAAGCAGTGAATAGCAATCCAACTTTTATCATATTAATATAGTCTATTAAATTAAACAAATCAATCAACTTCTCACCCCTCTTGGAAATACAGATTTGGATCAGCAGGCTCAGACAGCCTCAGCTGGCACCCCAGAAACTTCACCATACTTCACTGCTTGCAGAATGCCAATAATCTATTATCACATAATCACTTTAGTGTGTTTAACAGTTTGCATGTATTCATATGTGAAAAACTATGCTGGATTAGCTTAATAAATCTGCTTAGCAAGGAAGGCTAAACTGATGAAATTCAGTTTATTATTGGAGGCAGTCTGTTCTCAGGATATGCATGTCACTTGATCCTGTTGGCTAGTCACACTTTCTATAGTACATAATCTGTGTAAGTCTTGGCGCATTCGGGTCTTTTCCCGTGTAAGATTGAGAGTATCTTGGCGACGTTTTGACGAGGTCCCACTCGTCATCTTCAGGCTGGTGTTTTCGGCTTCGTGCCTATGCGAGCAAAGCTTTGCTCGCATAGGCACGAAGCCAAAGACACCAGCCTGAAGATGACGAGTGGGACCTCGTCGAAACGTCGCCACGATACTCTCAATCTTACATGGGAAAAGACCTGAATACGCCAAGACTTGCATACCTGTACCCGTGAAAGTCTACGAAAACAAATATACAAATATTTTGTTATAAGCAAAACAAGATCTATCTATCTATCTATCTATCTATCTATCTATCTATCTATCTATCATCTATCTATATCAAGGGTTGTGCCAATTTCAGGGGAAAAGAAGGGTCATGGACCAAGACAAATACTCAGAACATGTGAAGGATGGCATTGACTCTCCAAAAGGACCAGGACTTTTTGTCCCTTGAGAAGAGGTGAGACATTCCACAACTGCAATTTCTAGCACTGAATGATCTCAGATCTTACATAAAGTGGAGAAAATCTACAAGTGGCTCTTTTCACAGAGGTTGCTCATATAGCTCTCTGTATGTGGAATGCATGAGAACTGCCAGTCAAACTTCAATAACATTGATCCCTTCCCTGCGGGCAAGTTGAAGTGCTTTCCACCCATCCTCAGACTGGCAGAAAACAACCTTGGCATGAAATCTGTCTCCGTTGCTGATCTCCAATATGCCTCTATTTACTGCCAATCCTTAAACTTTTCTCCAAAAATGGATGACAAAATTTTACCCATCGTCAAGTAGTCTCAGTGCAACTAGCTCTTCCGAAAAGACCAGCTCTGCTTTACAATCCAACAGGAAAGAAAAAACCAACTGATGACATATCTCTGCATTTTTCCACTCCCTTAACACACTGGTAATTTTATTTATTTAATTTGCAATCCCCTCTTTATTATTTTTACAAACAACAAGGCAGTCAAATTATCTAATAAAACTTCCTCCTCCTATTGTCCCCATAAAAACAACCCTGTGAGGTAGTTGGGCTAAGGGAGAGCAACTGGCCCAAAGTCACCCAGCTTGCTTTCATGGCTAAGGAGAGACTAGAACTCATAGCCTCCAGCTTTCTAGTAGAGTCTAAAACAAATCGCGTTTAATGAATTAATGCTCTTGTTACACAAACATCAAAGGTCTTGCTTGCCATTTCCTGCTTTATTTTTAAAGAAGGTTTTGTCATTCATCTTAATGTTCTTGGGGGTATGCTGTTCCAATTCCTTTTTCTCTTAGGGGTAGGGCGCCTTTTAGAGAATTCTTGCCTATTGTTGTGGTCTGCCAGCAGCCTGTGGAGCTGGCAGCAGAATCTGACAGTGAGGAGGCTGGGGAGGAACATGGGCCAGTCCTGGAGTCTAGGGAAGGCCTGGACAAGGGCTCTGCATCGGAGGCAGAGATGGGGCCAGGGCCATCTGGGAGTGATGCACGGACTCCGGAGCCTCCAGAGCCGGACAGCAGATAGGCAGAGGAACAGAAGGAGACTGTTCCTAGTGCAAGCATGCGCAGAGCTGCCAGAAGGCAAGAGCAGCTAAAGCAAAAGGGACGACTCGGGAATAAGGCCAGAAGATGATTGGCCCCTCCCATAAGGCTTAAAAGAGAAACAAAGGCACTTGGGCCTTTTGCAGGAAAGCAATGTTGCTAACTCTGTTTCCAGTCGGCATCTCTTGTTTGTTTCTGAACTTTGTGGGGCTTTGCCAAGTAAGGCCTTTGGCAGGGTATCAAAGAAGTTAAAGGCTGGTGATTATCCCAAAGGACTTCTTCCAAAGGACTTGTTTTGCAACTAATTTGGACTCAGCTGGGAATGAACATGATTCTTAGCTGTTACAATAAAATAGGTTTATTTGGGACTAATTGTGTCTTGTAATGACTCAGGAACCCTAGGTCACAATACATATCTTCAGCCAGTGGTTAGCACATGATCAAAAATCAGTGTTTGGGTTCCTTTTGTAACATTTTAGTTTGCTTTTTAAACTGTTTAAAAATGAAACTTAGGCTTTTCAAATTTATTATTAAAATCCTCCCCAAAAGAAATTAATCTTCAATTCTCCCTTTCTTTCTATATTTTTTCCAATCCTTCATCTTCAATAATACTTTCTCCTTCAGCATTGCTCCTCCCCCTGCTTTTATTTTCAAAAAATTTTGAATGTAGATTTGAGACTGATGCATCTTTGAAGATCGCTCTCTCCTAAAAGTTATCTCCTTCATTTTGAAATCTCCATTTCGACTCTCCCTGCTTATATAATCAGTCACTTCCTCTCTTAAAAGTTGATTCTGTCTATAAAACCAAGAATTGTCACGATAAAGTTTATCAGTCTGCAGGAAAGAGTCTATTTGCTGCTTTTCAATTAACTGCATAGAAGCCTCTGCCAAAACCTCTGTTTTCAATGTGGTAACTTCCATTGTGTTCCTGACAGTCTCTTTTCCCTGCTCCAAAGTCAAGTTAGTTTGATTTTCTTCCTCTTTTCCAGCCAGCAAATCATTTTTGTTCTCCAGATTATAATTTTGAATAGCCCTTTCAACTGATTCCAGTATAGCAGAAGTATAGAAATTTAAAAGTTCTTGTAAAACCTCTACAGTCACAACTTGTGAATTTGCTGGCTCATATAGTAATGATCCTCCATCCTTGATGTCAGTCATATTTCAATTCCCAGTTTAAGTTTGTTCAGCTATCAGGTCAATAAATCCAATAATTTTCCACACAATTTAGAAGTATAAAGTAGTTAAGGTCAATACTATAGTCTTTTTCATTTCACTACCACTTTAAATCTTTTTCTTGCCACGTAATCCAGTAGCTTTAAGAATGTTGCAGCAATTAAAATGAATGTCTTACCTAGATTTTTATTTTTGTTCCAAATGATACCTGTGCTTAAGAAAGATGAAAATCTGAGAGAATGGCAGAAAGGTGTTAATACTTTTATTTGGGCTGGGAAAAAACCCAGAATAAAAATGAAAATTATACAAGATACACGTGAAAGAGGGGGTCTTAAAATGCCTAATTTAAGATTATATTATGAAGCAGCGGTTTTATCACAAATTAGTGATTGGTTTAATTTAACTGAGGGGAGAATTTTGAATTTAGAAGGTTATGATTTGTTATATGGATGGCACGCCTATTTGTTATATGACAAAAAAGTGGATAAAGTATTTAAGGTTCATATATTAAGAAATGCTTTGTTAAGGGTTTGGAAAAAATATCAATATAAGTTAAATTATAAGATACCTTTATGGGCAAATCCTAGACATGCAATAGAAAATATAAGTATAGAACAAAAACAGGAGGTGATTACCTATAAAGAGCTTCTTATTATGGAAAGGGGGGTAATGTATTTGAAATCTTTAGATATACTGAGAGAAGAAGGTATAATTTATACATGGTTTCAGTATGGTCAACTTCAAGCTAGATGGAAGGAAGATCAAAAAACTGGCTTTGTGCAAAATGAGGAGAATTTGGTAAAACAAATTAGAGATCAAAAACAAATGCATATTAAAAGGTTGTATAATGTTTTATTGGAAATAGATTCTGAGACGGAATTGGTTAAAGACTGTATGATTAAATGGGCACAAAATTTTCAAGAGCCAGTAATGATGGAGACTTGGGAAAAGATTTGGATTAGAAATGTGAAATTTACACAAGCACAAAATTTAAGAGAAAATTTTTATAAAATGTTTTATAGATGGCATTTAGATCCTAAAAAATTATCATGTATGTATTCTAATGTGCAAGCTAAATGTTGGAGATGTGACTGTGATGACACAACTTACTATCATATATGGTGGACTTG